AAAAATGTTCCAAATGTAAATCGATTATTCGATGTGGAACATAAAATGATATTTTAATTATCTTATTTGTAAATTTTAAATATAATTGTGATTAGACGGACAAAAACCGAATAATTAATTTAAGCCCTATATAGTCTCTTTGTTTTAAGTATCCTTATATCAAACGTCCCGGTCCGGTATTTATCACTCGCGGGTGCAGATCACGACTCGAAGACTGTAATTGCATATCCTGACTGAGGTTTTAGGTTGATCTTCGCAGTTTCTCTATGCAAAATTCTGGGTTTGTACATTAAATTACGCACTAGTGGCTACCTACTACAGTCTTCCTGCCATTAAATCCTATGAAGGCTAATCCGGGCTTTTGGTATTGTCGATAAACTGTAAAACATATAAACTTGCTCAATTTTATCAGTCTAATCACAATAAAATATTATTATTAAATATTAAAATATTATTACAATTAACATTTAAATATTTAAAATATATATTAAAATGATGTTCTCTATCGAAATGTTCGATTTACATTAGAGCTTCACCTTTTACACTACAAGTTTCGGTTCTAAATGAACCATCTTCAGGTGTATAATCCATATAAATTCAAATGTAATATCCTAAATGCAATCCTTCGTCAGATATCCATCTGTTATTCTCTTCCAGACCTATTGTACTTTAATATCGCATTCAAGGTCGTTTCGTATAAGCAGTAAAATACTGATGTCTTTTTGTAACAGTTTGCGTTCTCAGTGGAAGAACATAGACCAATGCGATCCCATACAAATAAAATCAAGGCATCCTGAATGCTGACAGATTTGGACCTTTTTTCCTTCAAATTTTTTATCTATATTCAAATTCAAATGTTATTTGTAATGTACACGAATTTCGGCCTATAAAGCGATTCATCATGTTGTACACCTTTAAATACTGAACTAGGACACTATCTTATTTTCTTTGTTTATTTAACAACAGTTACTCAGGTGCTTATTTTAGGCTATGCTACATCGAATGAAACGATGGCTATGAATGAGATAGAGGTCGCGCGAGAAGTCGTGGCACCTAAATGCGCGGTGCGTAAGCCGAGAGAGGGGAGTTCAGTAGTAGTGGGGGTCGCACAGCCTCAGCTGCGGTGACGCACCGAACTAAACAAAGCTTGAGCTACAAACCAACCGAAGCTGACACCCCTCTAGAGCCTGTTTCGGACGAGTCCATCTAATACGACCAAAATCAGTCCTTTGCGCAGGTGCCATCATTTCTCGCGCGACCTCTACTGAGATCAATGAGCAATAAATCAGCCATGGTCTTCTTTTTAAGATGTAACATAATCTGACTTAGATACTGAGATAAAAGTACGAACATCTGTAAGAATAACTGGCCTTGTATAGAGAAACGAACGCAGGGTTCTTATGGTACGAACTAAACATGAGTAAAGGAACCATTTATAATTGTCATCAATATTTTTGGCTGTAAAGGCGACAGATGCTTGATTAAAACCTGGTTGGAATCTTATTTTATGCCAACAGTTTTGCAGTAGTAATAATTCTAGTTTAAGAATGAAAGGTTTCGTGAGGTAGGTCAGAATTTTCTATAATTAATCACTCTGTGTATAAGGCTACTAGCAACACAGACCAGGTACTCCTGTCCTGTCATGTCAAATTAAATTCATTCCATTGAGACTCCACGTGCCTCTCTCTTGCAAATTCTGATGCTCAGATCATCAGTCAAGCCGAGTCTGTGCCTGTCGCCTCGAGTTACAGCACTTCGTAAAATCATTTAACATTGTAACTCAGCTTAATAAAGTTACTTAATGCTGTAACTGTTAAGACGTCGCCTCCTATCGCTGTCAAGGTCTGACATTTAGTGCGGAGGCTGTGAAATTGTTCTTTGCGAGAGATTTTGATACTCGCCAATCTGTAAATGCTGTTGCTGTCAAGAATCCACTCGTGGAATTTCTACGAAGTATTTAAGGGTTACAGCTGAAATGAATAAAGGACTTTGACATCTTCCCTACCACACATTTAGACTAATTAATTAATTAAACGACTCAGTGAAACTGTGTCCCGGAGAATCTGAAAATCTTTCTCGTAGTCTAGACATTCCCCTCATTTTACGAAATTTCGCTGATGTCACGATTTTCTGTTTGCAAAGCCTGAAAATAATAGACCATTCGATAAACATAGTCAAAGATAAGAGGACAATATTAAAATGGATCTTAAGGAAAGAAGATGTGACTATATAGAGTGGATTTATCTAGCTTGGAATAGAAATCGATGGTGGACTTGTGAATAAATTAATTAATATTCGTGTTCCATGACAGAGGGAGAATTTTTATGTCAGCTAAGCTACTGTCAGCTTCTCAAGAGGGGCTCTGTTGTGTAGAGTTAGTTTTGTCCGAAATGATGTTTCGGTGTACTGGCAGTAATTTGCTGGCATGTGAAAGGATTAAAGATAAAAGTCACTGTTGAGATCGAGTGGTCTTCAGATGAGATTTAATGACCTGGTTTTTTCACAATTTTGAACGAACATAAAAGTGAGGTTATAACGTAAACACAAAAGTTTGGAACATAATACACATTACGTTTAGGAATAGTTAGTCAGGCGAAAGAGCTGTCTTTTTTTGTTAAGTTTCAAGAATTGCTCATGTATAGGTGTACCACTCTGAAGTGCATTCATATTTGAGTATTAGAGGTCATAGGAGACGTAACTTAATACTCAAACTCTAAGTAATTAAAGGTTTAATATGTGTTTCTTGCCAGTTCTATTTAGTGTTGTCATTTGTGTGATATTGATGGTTGTGTTTTTAAATTTGTCAGATATATTAATTTTACGTATTTGTTACATGAATTTACCGTTAAATAGATGTTTGTAGATCGTTGTCTGTTAGTGTCGATTAAAGTTAGTGGTCTGCAAAGAATATTGTGACATTTGAGATTCTAATGGTAGCTGTCTTCTGAGATGTTGCTTCTGTAATCTGGTAGAAGTTTTTCCAAAGTTTCATACCACACTGATGATGGAGGCAGAAAGCACCGCTGAAACGTCGGCGAACTTCTGCTAGATTACACGGCGCAACTACCCAGAAAACAGAAATCTTTAAGGAACATCGTATTTGAAGTCAGACAGAGAACCTACTTCTAACTGCAGTCTTATCCTGTGTAATTGTGATTGGTAATTTTGAATTTGTTTCAGGTTTGCGAATTCGCGTCGCTAATCTGGTGATTAAACTGCTCACATGTCTCCTCTACGTCATTCGAGTTATTACAGAACTTGATCCAACCTTTGCCACCTGGTGAGTAGCCTCATACAAGCATTTTTCTAATCCAGACACTTGTCAGGAGACAAACATGGCGTGCTGAAGATAATATTATTTCAAATCTAAAACTTCTTGACGATGGTGAAGAGTCAATTGAATAAAATTTTCTTGGATATTATCCATCGTCTAGTAAATATAAAACGTAAAACGACGTTTCGGAGATGGGACTCTATCTCCGTCTTCAGGTTCCTACTCAGTTGGGCCCACTAGATAGAGCTAATCCCTATCTCCGAAACGTCGTTTTACGTTTTATATTTACTAGACGATGGATAATATCCAAGAAAATTTTTATTCAATAATATTATTTGATGCACTGAACTTTATGGAGCTGCAAATGTGCAGTTGTCTGTCTACTGAAGCATTGCGTTACTCGAAAGAGTGACCCGTAGAAATAGCTACAAATGGAGGTTGCATCCCGGGACATTAATTAAAATATTACATTTTTGATAAATTTTATGTTTTCACTGCGGTAAAATGATGGCACTATTACAAGACGCCGAAACACAGAATAGTATAATAATTTCTTATCTTATTTAATTTTATGACCACGTCAAATAATAAATATTAAGATAATAAAAAGAATAGCTCGAGGTGGGATATAAGAAATTCACACACAATTTTACTTGGAAAACCTGAAAGGACGATACTACTTTGGAAATCAGGTGAATCAGAGACTGTTTTCCTATTTCATATGTCAGAATTAAAACAGTTACGTTTAGTCATTCGTTAAATTAATTACAAGTAATATGAAGTGAAACAAAAGTCGATCGATTTCTGGACATCGGCCTAAAAGTCTGGGTCGGCTTTGCACCTACACTCTTTATCGGCCATGGCCGACACAAAGGGCTGTCTGCTAGTCGATAGGGAAAAAAGAATGAATGATCGATATAAAACTTCGAGAGTACATTCTGGACAAAATGTTGCGAGTGTCGCCTTCTGGTGACTGTGGCCTCCAACACGATCAACTTCGGATCGCCAGTTCCGAAAATTCCTTTAGGCCTCGTTTGTAATTATCATTAATTTAATAAGTTGTCCAATTTCGTCTTAAGAATGCCTCCGCTGACCTCCGTCGAAATCGTGGCCCGTCCTCTTATAAAAGGGGCCTAGCGTCGCTCACAGAGGAAATGTTGACATTCTTTGTTGCAGCTATGGATGTCAGCCGGGGAATAAGTCTGTTTACCTCGTGGCCAATAACTTGACTGGAGAAGAATTTCAGGAACACCCGATCATAAACTGGGATGCCATTATCTGGGTGAGCCGCTCCCTGCCCCTGTGGGTGATACAGGTCTTCCTCGCCTTCATCAGCCTCACGGAAGCTTTGCTGCTCGCTTACCTCGGCTACAAGGTTGGTGTCTCTGTGCATGAACATTGTATCTCTTACCCACTAAGGAAGAAAGCAGTCTGAAGAAAGTTTTAGTCCTGTGGAAGGTACTTCGTGGACCAGAGTCGTAATTGTGAAGCTGATAGGCAGGTAAGTCAGTGCAGCAGCGAAGTTTGTCCTGAACAAGATGAAAGATACATTTAATACTTTCGTCTTTCGAAGTCGTCAGTTCTTTCAGGTTTCCGACTGGTTTTTTTGGTGATGAACGATACGTTTACCCGCAAATCATGTTTATTAATTTGCATACTTTAGTTCGTTATTTTAACATATTTAATATTGTCAAATTAATGTAATAAGTGGAAGTTTGTGTCTTGTGAAGATTTAATAACTAACCTTTTGTATATGCTGTGAACTCGTTCATAACTTATACAGTTTTAAATTTTAGATTTTTTTAGAAATAATTATGGGTTTATGATATGGAGCTTACACAGCGACTGAGTATAATTAATTATTCTCGGAAAACACCGACGTTTCGAGAACCATCTTCATACTCGTCCTCAGAGTACTCGCAGGACGAGTACACTGCTGGTAGCCCGAGAAGAATTCATTAAACCTTAGGTTTTTTCACTGACATAATGCATTCATTTTGTCTTAACGCAAAATATATATAAAATGGATTTTAAATTTTGGTACAATTTTTTTTAATTATTAGACGATACCGTAATATTTGTTGTCCAATAAAGCAAAGCTGTTGTAGGATCGAAAATGTTTCCTTGGTTTTAATATCATCTGCTTCCTGTTTCGATATTTTCGCCTCCATTATTCACAAATTACTTCAGTGAGTCACGTCGTTATCTGTAAATAATACATTTCATATTCCAGATACGCCCACCGACTGTCTATGTAAATAATGTCCATCTGCTTCCTGTTTCGACATTTCCGCTTCCATTATTCACAAATTACTTCAGTGAGTCACATCGTTATCTGTAAATATTACATTTCATATTCCAGATAAGCCCACCGACTGTCTATGTAAATTATGTATTTGTTTCTAAGGGTGGGCTAGAGAGGATGTATGAAGGCGGACATATCTCTTACTACTTTCGTATTACTCGACTCTGAACACCAATCTGACACCTAAGTCAGGTGAATTGAAATACGTAGCTCACATCGGCTGGATCTGAAAACGTACATTTTGAAAACACCGCGGTTTCTTATGTATTTAAATGTAAAGGTTAGGTTGTCCGTAATTAAACACCAAGGCATGAAGACGCAGAAGAACAGATGTACAGGAACTCAAAAAACCAAATAATTTAATTTTAAATTATTACTGAACAAAAGTAACACAGTGTTACGTTTCAGTTAATTAATGGAACGAACAGCGAAGTATGTTACGGTCAATCTTTCTGTCAGTTTCAGTGACCACAGAACCGAAGTTCCTCGGTCGAAAATTATTATATCGTAGCTATCAGTGACAATCATTAAAAGTTGTCATCTCACTGGCAATCAGTTTGCTATTTCAAGCTTAAGTTTCTTACAGTAGTATATAAAATTCAACAGCTTCATTTTGACTTGGACAGAACAAAAATTTGAAGTTGAATACGTTCCTGCAATAGAATGCTGATTGATTCTTCTTGTATATCGTAACTTTACGTTACAATTAAGACTGTCACTGCTCTTAAAACGTTTGATCCAATTACTAATTGACACATAGGTTGTAGATATTAATTGATGCTCGGTTTTTACTGTCTACGCTGTCTAGAAATAGCGAGTTAACGAGTTGATGGCAGTTATTTCAAGTTAGTGCTGGAATTTTCATCTTCAAATTCTCAGAGTCCTATATTAATGCCTCGAGCATGAATGGGGCATTTCAGACTTTCAGTGGGCATTCATGTAGTTGATGCCTGGTTTTCGAATCTCCCACTTGTGTGATTTTTACTCTCACGCAAAGCTCTCGCTGATTCTAAAACGTGATCTTCCTGACACAAAAATCGAAATTCACAGACAAACTTTTAAGGGACGTTTAAGAGCTCTAAAGATTTATAACCCAATAACATTGTAGGGTGCGCACTGGTAGGACGAGCCTTAGGGAATCATACCTTTGGCGCTGATGAACTAAAACTTGTTCATCCTTTAAGGAAAGAAAGATCTTGTTTAAAATAAAATATCGCACATAAAAAGAGAATAAAATTTGCTACGCGAGAGTTTATACTTTGCATTAAAGTTTTTACTTTCTACGTGATTAAGTTTCTGTCAGCTTTCGTAATCACTAAACAGCTGTTCGGTTAATGTTTTACTGCTGCGTAAGACAATCTAACTAACGCTTTTGCGTAAGTAAACCTTATTTATTCTGTTATAATCTGTAACCTCGCAACAAATTTATTTGTATGGACTTCATGCAAAAACTATTTAGTCTGAATATCTGAAAGGAAGAAACATTTTGGAGATCTGGAATTCTTGTGAGGATAATATTAAAATTGATATTGAGGAAATATGAACTGAGGACGTGGATTTGATTTATTGAGCTTAGGTTAAGGTCAAATGCCTAGCTGTTGTGACTAAGACAATAAACTTTCAAGTTCCCTAAAAAGCAAAGAATATTTTACTTTTCCTAGAAATATCTCAAAAATGGTAAACTGTGTTTAAAATAATTTTACATAACGACTGTTTTTTTTTTACATCCTGTGTTTATAATGGCTTTTTATGCGATAATCTTTAATGAAATATAGAATAACGCATACATTTTAGTAACTACCCTTATCAATTAAAACGACGGTCACCTGATGAATTTTAATGCACTTGTACGACAGCAAATTCTATCCTATTCCTGCGAGTTAATTTCGTAGACGAAACATGCGAACGTGTGGATAAGCCAGAATGCTCATTTTAATTTCATGAGCACAAAAAAATTAGATATTTAAATCTTGTGTTTTCAACTCGCACTAACACACAAAGTCCCCCATTTCTACAAACATAACAATGCCGCGTGTCGAGAGAAGTCTTATTTGTGAAGAAATATCAAGTTCACTAAGTCTGAGACTGAACTGATGATTTTTGAAACAAATATTTATGAAGCAGAGTAGACTCCAGCGTCGCTAACACTTCATTTGTATTGAAACAAGATTCCATTGCCATAATTGTAGCCCTGAATACTTAACACATTATTTAGTCGATATTCCGCCTCGAGGGTTAAACATGTTAGTGTTTACGTAATAATCTTTGTTTATTCACATCTGATAGAATTCATAGTTGCTCACACAGTACGAGGTGCGATCGAAAGGTTTCCAGACTGCGCGTATAAAAACCCGTACACTTATCTCAGATATTAAATTCATCTATCACCCTCGAAGTAGTTCCCCTGGAAGTGAACACAACGATCCCAGCGCCGCTGCCAAGCCTTGAAGCATCCCTGGAAAT